TGAGGCCTTTGATCCACTTGGATTTGAGTTTTGTGCATGGTGGCAGATATGGATCTATTTGTAATCTTTTACATATTGACATCCAGTTATGCCAGCACCATTTGTTGAAGGTACTTTCTTTTTTCCATTGTATAGTTTTGGCTTCTTTGTCAAAAATCAAGCGTTCATATGTGCATGGATTAATGTCAGAGTCTTCAATTCCATTCCATTGGTCTGTATGTTGGTTTTTATACCAGTACCAAGCTGTTTTTATTACTATAGCTCTATAGTAGAGCTTGATGTCAGGGATAGTGATGCCTCCAGAGGTTGCTTTATTATACAGGATTCTTTTAGCTATCCTGGGTCTAGAGGATGCGGAGTAAAAGGAAACACTCCTCCACTGTTGGTGGGAATGCAAACTTGTACAACTATTGTGGAAATCAATATGGTGGTTTCTCAGAAAATTGGGAATTAATCTACCTCAAGACCCAGCCATACCACTCTTGGGCATATACCCAAGAAATGCTCAATCATACCACAAAGATACATGCTCAACTATGTTCATAGCAGCACTATTTTAATAGCCATAACCTGGAAACAACCTAGATGCTCGTCAACTGAAGAATGGATTAAGAAAATGTGGTACACAATGGAGTACTACTCAGCAGAGAAAAACAATGACAGCATGAAATTTGCAGGCAAATGGATGGAACTTGAAAAAATCATACTGAGTGAGGTAACCCAAACCCAGAAGGACAAACATGGTATGTTCTCACTCATAAGTGGATTCTAGATATAAAGCAAAGAACAATCAAACTGCAACCCACAGAACCAGGGAGGCTATATAGCAAGGGGGACCCAAGGATGACTGTGGCTTATAATAAGTTTTGGTTTTACTCAATTACTGGGCAAGCCTCAATGTAACATTTCACAATTAGGATAAGAATTTATACTGTATCAAGCTGATAATAGAAAAATAAATTTTAAAAAAGCGAAAAAAAAAACAACAAACAACAAAAAAAAAAAAGGAAAAAAAAATTTAGACTTTCTGGTCAGTGAGATATGTCTGCTCCTGGCAGCACCAATTTACTTCAGAGAGGAGGATGGGCATCGAAGACACTCTATATGGAGTTTATCTTCTTCTTGGCAAAAATAGACAATTGGGCAAGAAACTGTTCTTGCCTGGACTGACTGATCAACTGGACAAGCAGGACCCATAGGAAGGTGACCACTGAACTTTGCTTGGCAAAATGGTCCTTCAGGTTCCTGCTTTGCAGAGGAAACTGTCAGACATTCTATAGGACACAGAGAGAAGTGACTGACAGACTCTAGGCCTGTGGACTGAAGACAGATGCCCGAACTTTACAGAGGAACTTTGGATGACTGTCCAGGCTGCCAGCTGTCTCTGTCTACTCTCTCAAAGTTGCTTGTGTCCTTCTCCCATTTCTCAGGTAGTATTATATCCTTCTGAGGTCTTTGATGTAGTTGAAGACTAGATAGTTATAATTTTCTTTGGTTATGATAAGAGATAAGATAGATATCAAACTTTAGACTCACAAATAGAGGATAGATAGGATATTTTCTTTGATTTTGCCAAATATAAATAGAGTAGATATTGTAACTATAATTCTTGCTTGATAATTGTTTTGTTATATGTAATTTTACTATGTTAAACTTAAAAACCTTCCTTTTTGAAAAAAAGAAAAGGGGAAGTGCTAGGGATGTCTTTCTGTATGCTGTGAATGTGTTGCTCTGATTGATTGATAAATAAAGTGCTGATTGGCCAGTAGACAGGCAGGAAGTATAGTATAGGTGGGATAAGCAAAGAAGAGAATTCTGGGAAGTGGAAGGCTGAGTGAGGAGATGCCGCCACCACCATGAAAAGCAAGATGTAAAGTACCGATAAGCCACGAGTCACGTGGCAACTTATAGATGAATAGAAATGGGTTAATTTAAGATAGAAGAAGTAGATAGCAAGAAGCCTGCCACGGCCATACAGTTTAAAAGTAATATAAGTCTCTGTGTGTTTACTTGGGTCTGAGCAGCTGCAGGAGCCAGGTAGACACAGAAAAACTCCAGCTACACTTCCTCCTACTGGATTGCCTCATCCAGCCTTAACAGGAGAGAAGGGGCATAGTTTCAATGCAACTTGATATGCCATGGCTGGCTGATATACAGGGGAGGCCTGCCCTTTTCTGAAGAGAAAAGGAGGAAGAGTCTGTGGCGGGGAGGGGGTGGTTACAGCTGCAGTTGGGATGTAAAAAGAAAAAATATTCAGCCTTGTTCTATATGACTCCACAGGTCAGATTTTCTTTCTACTTTTCTCTAATTTAAGAAACTTCAAGCTCTGTATATGCTTAGCTCTATTCCCTAGCGTGGCCTTGACCATACAGAGATCCTGCCTGCTAAGGGATTAAGGGCATGTGCTGCCTGACTTCTTTGTTTATTTAAAATGGCTGGCCTTTTCCCTCTGATCTCCAGGCAAGCTTTATTTATTAGCATACAAATAAAATATCACCACATTTCAGCACAAATAAAACATCACCACAGCTTCCCTCACAGAGTACATTTCCGGGAACAGATTTACATTCTAGAATACAGAGTAACATGTAGTAGGAATCAGCCAAATGGATTGGTACCTATAACCATTTGACTTATGCCAAACCTCCTGACTTGTGACTCTCTACCTAGTTAGAAATTTAACATAGAAATAATTGGTTTTAAAACTGATAAGGAATTATTTTAATACTATAAAAGGTTTAGTTTACATAATTTTTATATTAACATGTTTACTAACAGATGAAAATAAAATCTTCACACAGTGAATAAATTTTGACACATATTTAGTGCATTCTATACATATTATTAGGAAACCACTTTAAAATGATACTAAAGCCGGGCGGTGGTGGCGCACGCCTTTAATCCCAGCACTAGGGAGGTAGAGCCAGGCGGATCTCTGTGAGTTCGAGGCCAGCCTGGTCTCCAAAGCGAGTTCTAGGAAAGACGCAAAGCTACACAGAGAAACCCTGTCTCAAAAAACCAAAAAAAAAAAAAAAAAAAAAAGATACTAAAAATATGAAATAAGGACTGGGAATGTAATGAAAGGTAAGAGCACTTGCCTAGCATGTTCAAGGCCTTAGTTAAATTTTCAGAACAATGAAGTGTTTACAATGATATGGAAAAAGAAGTGTTTTCAATGATATGGAACTATATTAATATGTAACAGGCAGAAAATGCAGGTTATAAAAGAGTTTGATTCTATTTCCTTAAAAATCAGAAGTACCCTTTAATATTCTTTGCCTTCTATGTTTAGATATGAAGAATTAAGATAGAACGGTTGGGTGGGCATGGATATGCACGCCTTTAATTCCAGCGCTCAGGAAGCAGAGGCAGGTGGATCTCTGTGAGTTTGAGGACAGCCTGTCTACATACTGATTTCCAGGACATCAAGGGCTACATAGTGAGACCCTGTCTTCAAAGATAAAGATAGAAAGGTTGGATAATGAGTTTGGGGAATGTAAAATTATACAAATCTAAAACTAATTTGTTTTTTGAATTTGGACAGAGTTCAAAAAGAGATTCACTCACAGAAAAAATGTCCATGAGCAATACTGAGAGCAGAGAAACATGAAACACCTTGAGAAGCCAGCAGGTCCCAGCACATACTCGCTTTAGGATGTGCTCTTTGTGGGGCGATGGGTAGTTGTCTCTGTTCAGCTTCTCTGTCATTTCTTCAGATTTTTACTCATTATATACAGTTAAATTTATATTAGTTAAACGTACATATGCTAAGGTTCCATTGAATGTGCCTGTTTATACACATTAGTACATAGCCCTTCGTATCACTGGTTGCTATTTATGAATACAACCAAGAATGGATCAAAATATTGAGAGAAAATTGTGATCATCTCTCTCATAGACAGGTTTTTTTTTTAACATCATCTTCTAAATAATATAGCATAACAACTACTAACACAGTATTTACATTATATTCAATAGTATAAACAATCTAGAGATGACTTAAAGTATGAAAAAGATGTATATAGGTTATAAGTGTTATGCCGTTTTATATAATGAGCCTTCATAGCTGAGGATCTGTGCATCTAAGAACTTGAAACCCATCCTTTACTGATACCAATGAGTTACTCTTTATGTACAAAAAGATAACCCGGAATGCTACATGCCATAATATCAGACTTAGTCTCTACAGGTGCTGAAGTAAGAAGGGCTCATTTCTTAATGGCGCTTAAGCTTGTTTTTCAGACCCTCTCCTAAAGAGAAAATAGTATTTTCTTTCTTTCTTTTTCTTTTCCTTTCTTTCTTTTTTTTTTTCCAGACAAGGTTTCTATGTGTAACAGTCCTGGCTGTCCTAGAACTCCCTTTGTAGACCAGGCTGACCTCCAACTCACAGAGATCCCCCTGCATCTGCCTCCCAAGTGCTAAGACTAAAGATGTGTACTGCTGTGGGATGTTCTGTATGTTACATGTGTTGCTCTGATTGGGTAATAAATAAAACACTGATTGGCCAGTAGCCAGGCAGGAAGTATAGGTGGGACAAAGAGAAGAGAATTGGGGGAAGTGGAAGTCTCAGGCAGAGAGACCTGCCAGCCACCACCATGACAAGCGAGATGTAAGGTACCAGTAAGCCACGAGCCATGTGGCAACTTATAGATTAATAGAAATGGGTTAATTTAAGATATAAGAACTAGATAACAAAAAGCCTGCCATGGCCATACAGTTTATAAGTAATATAAGTGTCTGAGTGATTATTTTATATGTGGGTTGCTGGACTGCGGGGGCTTGGTGGGACCTGGAGAGAAGCTCTCCAGCTACAGTGTACCACCACTGCCTGGCAAGAAAATACTATTTCTAAATAAGATTTATTAAAACTGATATAGTACCCCCTGCCATACAAAAGCACAAACATTATTTCAAGGACAATAACATTAACATTTTAATTGATAAAAGTAGCTCAATCTATGAACTCAGGATTTAATGACGAGATCATTGTTTAGTTTTACCTCTAGAACTTTCTGCTGTAGTCGGCCACGCTCTTCTTTTTCTTTGCCAACAAACCACATCTCCCACGGTGTCAGGCTGTTTTCCCGTAATAGCACCTGCTTCTGTTCTTGTTTATCCTGTGACTCAACTTCACAGCTACAAGGGAACAAAGTGCAGTACTTACTATCAAGAACTCTTCTTTCCACTCACAATTACTTAGCTGTACAATGAAAGCAAAATGTGATATTTCTAACAGTTGAATTTTTACAAATCCATATAAATTATTCACAATTCCTATTAAAATTATAAAGGTCAATCTTTGAAGTAGTTTATCATCAAACTGCCTTTATTTCTAAACCACACTATTTAATAAGCCATAGGAGTATCCCAAACCCAACCTATCTGTCTCAATTTAGGCATTTTTCCTTTTCCCTTTCCCTCCTTAAACAGTACAAGAGAAAAAATAATGTGCATACACACTGAGCAAATATAAAGCAAACGTGTTAACAATCCCTGATTCTGGGTAAGGGATAAACAGAAATTTTTAAGATTCTCTTTCAACTTTTTGTAAATTTGAAATTGTTTTAAAATACAAAGTTACAAAGAAAATGAAACTTATCTATTACTATATGCTTTTCTGTTTTCTCTAAGTTTTGGTGCTGCAAATTGAACTCAGGGCCTGGGGCCTGGTGCATACTAAGTATGCAGCATGAACTACAAAGAACTACACCCAACAGTTAATATTATGGTTGATTGCTTTTGCCAGTTATCTTAGAGTGTCCACAACTCTCCTGTCTGGCAGTCTCCTGTAAGTCTCCATTCCCACCATAAACATCTTCTGTAACTCTTCTGGGCAAGGAAATCTAAGAGCTGAGCGACTTAGCTAGATGCACAAAGCTCACAAAACTTAGAGAAAGCTTAACAACCAGACTCCAGTGAAAGACTGCTCAGGTCCAAAACAGCTCCAGAGATGAGGCTGTTCTGTCTTTCTTGTTAACTTATTAGTTATGTGTATGTATGTGTCTGTATGTACATGTATGTACACATGAACACAGTGCCAACAGAGGTCAGAAGAGTGTGTCGGATGCTTGAAGCTGAGTTACAGGCAGTTGTGATCATCAGCTGTGGACACTGGTACTGAGGTTAGATCCTTTGTAACAACAATGTGTGTTCTTAACTACTGAGCCCTCTCGACAGCCTTTTTAAATTGTGTGTGTGTGTGTGCGCGCGCGTGCGTGTGCGTGTGTGTGTGTGTGTGTGTGTGTGTGTGAGAGAGAGAGAGAGAGAGAGAGAGAGAGAGAGAGAGAGAAACTGATGATTAAATCTTATGCTTAGATAGACATTCTGCCAGACCCATCTCCTTCATTTCTAAAATCTAGTTTATTATAGACTTAGTTCTTTGTGTCTTTTATATTGTTCCTTCTAGCAAACAATGGCCTTACCAACTGCTTTCCATAATTTTTTCTACCTCATAGATTCAGTTTACTCATTTTCCTGCTATTATTTGTTTATTCACACCCTTATAGAATCTGTATTCTGGTAGGAATGAGACACCGTTGATGTATTAGTTATATACTTCCTTCTTTCTCAGTCTTGCAGAATGACCTTATCTTGTCCTATATAACCAAGTATCGTCACACCTTCTGGGTAATATAGCTCAGACCTTTACCTTGGGTTCCAGACTTCTTTCCACTCCTCTGACTATCAAAGTCAGTACAAAATCAATTCAATCAATTGAGCAGTCACCCTTCAGCCACCCAATAAAAGTCCACTTCTCTTACAACCCTTAGTGAAGAGTACCAGCACCCCACCCAGTTACCAAAGCCAGAAATTCCCATTTTTTTTAACTTCACATGCTCCCACACTCTACATTCATGTGGCCACTTGTTATGTCATCTCTAGAGCCTTCGTTTCTCTTCAAGCCATTCTCTTCTCCAGCCTTACAATTGCTCTGAATAGAAATGGCCTCGCCTCTCTTTCAAACCACTCTTAACAGCGGTATCCAGGTTCACCCCTTAAATGAATCCTTGTCTCATCTCAAAGTTCTTCAGTGAGTCCTTTACCTTCAGCATAAAATTCAAACTCCTGAGCAAGACACCCATGAATTGCTTCCTTCTCTTTTAGCAAACTGATCCAGACTTCCTATTTCAGGTTTGCTGAACTACAGGCTGATGAATGTGTCATGCCACTGTGCTGTCTATAGCTTTTCCCTAAAACTGAAATTCCTTTCTGTAGTAGCAAGCTTTCTTGTCAGACTATTCCCTTTTAAAAGGTTTATTTTTATTTATGTGAGTATATGTGTATGTGTGAGTTTATGTGCATCAAGTGCAAGTGCAGGTGCCAGCAGGGGACAGACGGTGTCAGATCTTCTGGAACTAAAGTTACAGGTAATTGTGAAACACCTGAAGGAGGTACTTGGAACTGAACCTGGGTCCTCTGCACCAGCAGTTAGCCCTCTTAACCACTGAGCTCTTTCTCCAGCCCAAGTCAGACTTTCTGTATTCAGATACAGTTTTGTTATTTGTAAAATGATTAATTTGGGCTTTCATTTTGATAGCAGAAGCCTTGTATATCTCGTTTATGGTCCCCTATACCCACACTAATCTGTGGCAAAACAGTAAATGTTTGCTGAATGAATCAATGTAAATAAAAATATTAAGATGGTGTTAATAACCCCCTTGATAAACATTCACTATTCCATTAAATGTTCCTGCAGAGTACGAACATTACTGGCTGGCGACTGTACTCAGCTCTTTGTATAAAAGCACCTACTTACTACAACCTCGTACCTACTACACATTTTGACAAGCGCTCTGGAGTCAACGATGTGGTTTTTGGAGGATTTTAAAGACTCCTGGCAGCAAAGTTTTGTGTGCTTGCTTCTGTGTACAGTAAGTTTCCATGGAGAGTGAGACTGCAATAATCAGTCTCAGGAAGAGGGACGAAGAATCATGGAAAATAACTGGTCCTCTGAATTTGCCCAGCACTCCAGGATGGAGGTGCTTCGCAGCCTTTGAGTTGGAAGACAGCATGCGGTGGGGGTGGGGATGGGCGGCAAAGGATTCTGAGCACCATCTCTAGGGAGTCTTGAGAAGGGCTGTGGGGGCCGGGCCTTGAGTTTACCTGGAGTGCCCCGGTAACTCCGTTCCTTCCAGGCTCTCCACCTTGGCCTCTGACTCACGGGCATCTTCGTCCACTGCCTCTTCATCCTCCCCTTCACTGTCGTCCTCGCCAAACGGAAAGCTCTGGTGGCCCAGGGGAGACAACAGGGACAGGGTGGAGTTGCTGCAGCTCAGAGGCAGCGGCGACAAGCACTCGGTCACCACCACCTCCTCCAGTCCTGGGCCCTGGGAGTCCGCTATGAGGTCGGTGACAAAGCTCGAGGAAGGTCGGGGGCCCGGCCTGCAGCAGGCCACGAAGCGGGTGCACGGAACGGGAGAGACCGCCCGCCAGGGCCCGGCCGCCTGCATCAGGACCGCCAAGTTCAAACGGCCCGAGCAGGGCCGGAGGCGCCTTCTCCCAGCAGGCGCCGCGCGCGGCCATCGGCCAATCAGCTCCGAGCCTGTTCCCCGTTGTCATAGCGACGCTTGGAGACTACGAGGCGCTTTTTCCCGGCCGGGGAAGCGTGGCTTCCGCACTCTGTAGCTGGAAGGTTCACCTCCGCGCCTCCCCGGGTCGCCAGCCAGGTCCTGGCGCCCTCCTGACTACTATGTTTGCTGTGGTGCTGTGGGCCATTTGGTACTCGACACGTGTCGATGTCACTAAGGCAGATCCTTTTAAAGGAAAAGGCAGAAGTGGGAAGCCATGATTATCCCCAGCTCCCACCCCCTTGCTCATGTAAGGTCAGGATCATAAAAAATAGCAATCGTGATTAGGTTGTTTGTTTTTATTTTGTTTTGTTTTGACATTAGGCTGCATTCTAGGGAAGAGAACTTCATCCAAGCTAAGAATCCTCTTTGGGCACAGTCTTTCACTGTATTGGCAGCATCTGTCAACTTAAACAGTTTGTCAGGGCTTGTGAACTTTTTGGTCTTTTTAAAGCGTTTGTGTCCACACTCCAGCATGTCCAAACCACAGCAGGTCATGAGCCAACTTTAAAATCCCTCATTCTTTTAGGCATTTTTCTAGGGCCTCGAGGCACTTTTAGGGGTTGGGGATCTAGATGAAGCCCTCAAGGAAAAGTTGTCCTACACTGAAACCGGGCTTGTTATTCATACTCACTAAACTGCGTACACTTGTAAACACAGCTTTTGTCTGGCTCCTAATGAACATTACTGTCAGAAACAACACAAGTGAAAAATGAGACTGACAGCATGCAACTTTAATGATCAAAGATACAAAATCTGATGAAATTTGTATCTGTAGACTTTTCACAAGGCAGTTAGACATGGTAAAAAATACTAGCACTCAAAGATGAGGCAAAGGTTACAGTGACTATAACATGACATGCTAGCAGGGTTATATAGCCCTGGGGTACAGCACTATTTTCTTCAAATTTTCAGTAAAAACAATGACATTGAAGACAATTGTACAACTGACTAAGAAAAGTGATTTAGTAGAATTATTTTTATGCTTTACACCAGTTATTCAGTATTGGCATATCTAGTTTAAACCTTTTATCAGAAAACATCCTGAGTATCAGTAACTCAGAGACACTGAAATACCTTACAGCTTCATAAAGATGGAAGCTTGAGAAACAATTTCCCAATAGAAATAACCTAAAGGTTTTGGGGAAGAGGAAGGAAACTGGCTTTGAACCAGTAGTTTTCCCCTTAATAAAATATACTAAAATAAGCTATTTGACCACAATGACCTTAATTTGGTCTTCTCTAAACCATTATCATATTTTTTCATTAATCCTTAGCTCTACCTCAGGACCTGGCATCAATGGTAATCCCTTTTAAACCCTGGCAGTTTCCCACATTAAACCTCTTGGTGTGAGAATCTTATATACTTCCTTTACCCCCTTTGTGTTTTATTAAAGCATTCTTGATACTCTAGGATCATTGTGCCCACCAAGTTCATTGCACTTTAGCAATACTGGAGCCTTAAATGCTACAAGGCAGTTACATGGCCTGCAGCTATGTTTATTTGAATGTAATAAGGTTCCACAAATGGTCTATTTTTACATTGCTTTTTTGTTACTTGGGCTGAGAAGCAATAGTCAAGATTGGTAGGATTATATGAATTATCCCCCCTTTTAAATTACAGAGTACAGACTTAATCATGTCTTCTTGATATTCACTTATTTTCACTTTAATCAGTTTTAATTGGTATGGGAACCTTCTGTAAAAGTGACTTTTGCTTAAAAATATGTAACTATATTACAAAACTAATACCTTTGTCAGCCTTATGACAGTTTTATGGTATGGCTTTGAAAATGTCTTTCTTCACATACTGAAGTATTAACAGATGAAGTAATATGATGTTTTAGCTTGCCTCAAAATAATCCAAGAGGCAGAGGGACTGAAGAGGCTTAGTGAATGTGACGATGCCAAGATTTATTGTGTGCTATGAGCAATTGTTAAAGTTGTAGTAGGTACTTGGTGAAAGGTGTAGGTGAGGGGTAATTAATTATACTGTGCTTTCTGCTATAAAGATTACCAATATTCAGAGTTTAACATAACCTTATACTAGATCCAGAATTAGGATGAATGGGACTAGGGGTATGACTTGGTCAGTAAAGTACCTACCTCGCAAGCATGAGGACCTGAATTCAATTCCCAGCACCCACGTAAAACTGCTGAGTGTAGTGGCACAAGCTTGGGCCAATCAGTCTAGCTAACCAGCCAGTCTAGCCTAATCAGTGAGCTTCAAACTAATGAGAGAACCTGTCCCAATGGAGGTGGACAGCTTCCTTGACGATGTCTCTTGCATACACCCACACATAAGATAAAATATAAACACAGAGAGAACTGGGTTCTGGTTTGGATGGTATGTGTTTCGAGGATTTACTGAAATTGGCTGTGGTTTATCATTTGTCTTCTTATTTGAAAAAGGAGGGGTTTTCTAAGCATCTAGGCAACTGATGGCCTTTAGTGTCCTGCAGGTTAATCATCTGTCTGTAAATAAAGATCTAATTAATAGGGTCCTCTTAAATATCACAATTTATTTTCAACTATGGTTCGGTTTGGGATAGAACTTTACTTCTAATTTCAGTACAGTGTCCTAGACTTTTATAGATAGCATGAAAATTGTGTTTTCCAGTGGTTATTTCCAACAACTCTTCTAATATTCTCTGCTTAAAAATTTTAGTATCCTACCAGGTGGCGGTGGCACACGCCTTTAATCCCAGCACTTGAGAGGCAGAGCCAGGCGGATCTCTGTGAGTTCAAAGCCAGCCTGGTCTACAGAGAGATCCAGGGCAGGCACCAAAACTACACAGAGAAACCCTGTCTCAGAAAAAAACAAAATTTAAGTATCCCATGTGTAATACTAAGTATACTCAGTAATATATTTAGTTATAAATTAAGAGTTAGACTGCTTTCTAGAAACTTGTAATCATTTAAAACACTGTGTACAATGCTATATTTAATAATTTCTAGCACAGTTTACCACATACTTTATATAGCTATAGCCCTGGCTGTCCTGGAACTCTGTAGACCAGGCTGGCCTTGAACTAACAGAGATCCACCTGCTTCTGCCTTCCAAGTGCTGGGATTAAAGGCATGTTCCACCATGCTTGGCCTATTTCTTAAAAGAACAAAATGAACAGTTTTCAATAACTTGAATTTTAGGAAGAAAGCCTTTAATTGGGATTTTCTTACCAAGTTATGATTTAATATTTATCAGATGTGTAAATATACATTTTATTTAAGCTGTAAATAGATGACCTTACAAAATTACAACACACAGTAAATAAATCCCTCCCACATTTTATACAAACTACATGATTTCAATATACAAAGATTCTGTTTTTATTCCACTGACAATTTACAACCAAGACTATTTACAATGCAAAAAAAAAACCCAAAACAAAACAAAAAAACAAAAAACCACACACAAAAACATGTATATAAACCACAATTTAACATTCTGCTACTGGCAGTCACTATAGTTTAGGAGGTAGCTTTAATTAAACGAAATGAACAGAAGCCACATTTCCCAACTCATGTTCTAAAAATAATTTACATAAGATAAAAATTCATCATATGCACAGTATATACAGTCTAATCATCAAACTGCAATCTAGCTTAAGTTTTTGTTTAACCAGGCAATGGGTTTGCTACTGACTTAACACAGTGTTAAGCCTCCTTATTGGAACATATCAGAAGCTTATAGGTAAGAATCAAGTCAATTAAAAAACTTTAAAGACACAGGACAAGCTTTGATCCCCCAACTCTTACTATGTGTCTTGTTTAACCAAAGCATAGCAACTGAGCTATGGGATGGGCTTTTAAAAAAATTGCTGGATGGGAAAAACGTATGGAAGTTTTCATATACCATCACAGGAGACTCTAGCTCACTAAAAAATAAACGTTAAGTGCTTTGTGTCATGACTACTACCAATTTCTTCCAATTAAATAAAATTACCCAAATTTACTTCCTGTATAATCCAAACTAAAGATAACACATCAACAAAATTGGAAATGTCAGTGCAGCCAATGACATTAGGAAGTGTCTGTTAATGAGAACATCACATAAAGCCATCAAACCGCTTGGTTACTATTAAAATCTCAATATTACTTAGTAGTTAGTCATCTCTACTAAGCCCACATAGCAATGTGCTTTTTGCTTTGCCCTAGTACCTGACTGTAAAACACTGAGGGGGGAAAAAATCACCATGATTTCATCAAAGCAATGTATAATGAACAAAAACAAATGTTTTGCTATTTTTTAAAAAATATAACAGCTGTTAATATTGTCTTTAAAACATCTTCAGGTTTTAGATTTAAAAATCATTTGAACAAAACCTTTGATTTATGGACACAGAAAAAAACATGAAGGTAATGCCTGTTTGAACTCTCATAGCTCTAGCTGGGAGACAATCCCTTTTTTGGCCCTGAAGTAAGTCGTCCTGAGATTAATGATGAAACATTAGGTAAAATTAGCAAGACTTTTTTTCAGTTTTATAAGTTCACATTTTCAATTAAAAAATATTAACAGCTGTCCTTTATCTTGTGCTTAATTCAGAAACAGTTTGAACTTTGCACCTGATGAATCAGAAAAAAACAAAACTAATTTTATATTGCTATGCCATACATCAAATCATTTTTAAGTTGTATTTATTTCAATCAGACCACACATCGCTGGGACATTGCATTTTTTTCACCAATATATAATTTAGGCACCCATTCTTCACAAATGTCCAGTTTGAGAAATAAACTGCCACCTTCCTCCTCTTCTGAGTGACACCAGGCAGTGATTACAGAAGTGCTTCCCAGATGAGAGGTCAAAAGACAGACAGCTCACTCTATGAGCACTGTGATTTGGTTGATGGGGGAAATGGTTTACAGACACAGTAGTTCAGTCTCTGACTCTTGGTAGATTATAAGCATAGCGTACCAGAGGGAATCCACGACTCTGGTAGAAGCAGGCTCGTCCACAGGCCTGCACCTGGTCAGAACTGTCTGAGACAAAGGAATCTTCTTCATCTGCATAGTCAGAGTGGGCTGACTGTGTGCCACAGTCAGACCAATAGCCCTCTGGTCTTTGGCAAGAGGCCACTGTCAACACAGGACAACTGTGTGATTTTATTAAGTGTTTGCAGGATACTGGTTTTGTCAAAAGAAATGACTCACAACAGTCGCACACGGTCAGGTTACCCTGCAAGTGGGAATACATGCCACAGTCATAGTAGAAATCCTGTTCCCCACAACCACCTTGGCTGCTGATGGAAACCGAAACAGATCCATGTTTCCTGGTAATGCGCCGTTTCAGTAGCTTCCAGTCTTCTTTAAACTTTGGGTTGAAGAAAACATACAGGACTGGATTCAGGCAAGCAGGCAATGGGAAGAATATCAGTGTAACAGACTTCATTATTTCGGGGCTGATAGAGATTGCCGTGATCAATGGTGCAAAGGAGAAAAACGCAACGGGGCAGAAAAAGATGCAGTTGGTGAAGATCAACCAAGCAACGTGCTTAATCATGCTAGACTGTGAGTTTTCTGACAGATCTTCTTTCTCCAAGTTGCAATACAGTTTAGTGTAGATAATGGCCATTAATAAAAACGCTAGTGAGTTTAACAGCACTAAGGTCACAGTAAATCCTAACGATGGGGTTTCTCCTGTAGGAAACGGCAAGCACAAGGGGGATGCAGAATATTCCCCTCCGTGGAAAAGGGGGAAGCAGCCTGCTATGGCAGCACCCAGGAAAGCTAAGAAGGCAGCGACCCGAAACTGTTTAAGGTGACTGCTCTTCCCGTTTTTCATGATTTCCTTTGCAGATAAGCTTCTCTCCACAGCTGCCAGCATTAACAGGAAGACGGCGCTCTCTGAGGAGAAGACCGCCAGAGACCCAGCTACCTTGCAGCCACTGCCGGTCTCCCACCAAATGCCAAATTCGGCAAATCGGCCCCAAGACACGGCATCAAGAAAAGTAAGGATGCCAGTATAGATGCCCATAAGTAAGTTAGACACAGAAATCAGGCCTATGAAGAGTGTGGAGGCAGGCAGTGACGAGCAAGATGCAAACACTGTGACAAGGACCAGCAGGTTGAAAAGCAAGGCGACCAGGAAAATAAACCACACTGTAAGGCGGATCATCCAGCTCCCCAGCAGATATTCACAGGGCTTGAAAGCACCTAGAAATGAGAAAGAAAGGGTACAATGAAAGACAGCTGGAGAACACTGTGGATCACACGGTCTGGCTTAGCAATGAAATCCAGAATAAGCCTGCCTGCCACCTGCAAAATCAAACATTACCACTTCTAAGATATTATAGTCACAGACTAGCTCACTTAAAAATAAATTGCCCTTAATTTTTGAAATTTTGAAATTAAATATCTGGTAAGGTCACATGGAGATAACTGAAAGAAAATGTCACTTTAGGTAAAATTAACACAGGTAGCACAATGTCTAGCAAATAAAAGGTACTTGGTCCAAATTCTGAACCTCTGTAATCAGAGAGCCTGTATCTTGCTGTCCTTCCTCTCATACTCTACAGACCCCATCCTATCCCTTGTGGACAGTCAATGCCTGTCTCAGGGATATGTGCAGCTTACACAGAACCACATGCTTAATATACTTAAGCAGCTGCCAGGTATATTGTTAATTTCAGTAAATACGACCACCCTTTTTTTACTAGTCTCTACATACTTTATAACCATGTATGTATGTACACATATTTCTTTAACACATTTTTGCCCATTTCTCATGACTTTCAAAGGCAACCTGAAGAGGCAGATTAAGACAGATACAGTTAATCTGATCTTCAAAGAAACTGACATTTGAAAGCCTTTAATTGACTTGACAAAGGTTACTCACTAAGCTAACAGAGCTAAGATTAAATCGCATAGATATTAATTCTTTATAATAAACAGACTAGGTTTCAATGAATACTCATTTAGTAGCTGAACTGTTTGTGTTTTTTTTTTTTTTAACTTTTTCTTGATGGGGTCTTCCTATGCTCTAGCTGTTCTGGAATTTGCTGTATAGACCAAGCTAACCTAGAACTCAGAGATCAGCCTGATTCTGCCTCCCAAATGCTGGAATTCAAGGTATAAGCCATCGTTCTGGCTGAATTATTTATCTTAGTTATTAATTTTCACATGCTAATTATATCACAAATAATAAGTGTTTTGTTTAAAAATTCAAAAATAAAAAATTTGACTATGAAGCTGAACAAAACTATATACTGTAGCTGGTTAAAGGCATATTTTATTTTCCTGAGCAGTCATGGAAATTTAAACATCCAATAAAGTATCTTATTTTTAAACAGTATTTATTAAAAATTATATTTGTATTTATTTATTTTGCATTTAGAGGGTATGCATGCCACAGTGCATGCATGGAAGTCAGAAGGCAACTTGCTAGCCTTGATTCTCTCCTTCTACCATGTATTTCTGGGGGTTGAACTTAGGTCATCAGACTTAGCAGTAAGCCTCCTTACCCTCTCAGCCATTTCATCATCCCCATCTTAATCATATAAAGTCAATTCTATACAATTTTTGATTTCCACATAACATAAACTTTTGAAACTGTGTTGTACTACCCTCAGGAAATTCTACACGAAAGCACTTTATTGCCTTTATTTCTGAGTCAGAACTCAGCCCTCTATAAAAAGAAGAGCAGGGCTGGGCAAGGTGGAGCATACCTTTCATCAGCAGAGTCAGGTGATTTCTGAGTTTGCAGCCAACCTGGTCTACACAGTGAGTTCCAGGCAAACCAGAAATACATAGTGAGACCCTGTCTCAAACACAACACAACAAAACAACAAACAAACAAACAAACAACAACAGAACAATAACAACCAACACAAGCCAGAAGAGAGCTCTTCTGGCAGGAATGCCATCCTTGGGCAACTGTTTCTCAGATGGGTAGGGCTACTTTCCTAACAACTGGACTCTGTCTTTGGAAGCCTACTGCTTCCTGCATCTGATTCCACAGAAGGATCTGGATTCTACTCCAGACTGCTTCTATCTTAGAATATCTGTCATATTTATGTGTTTCTATAGCTCAGCTGGGGAGAAATCCATCTTCTTTGGTAGATTAGGCAGATTATGCCATAACAACAACAACCAAATATGCGACATCAGTTTAATAACTTTCACAAAACTAATAAGATAAAGGAAGTAAGTGAGAAAAAAAGATAAGATGGACTGTGGTGGTGGCACATGCCTTTAATCCCAGCACTCAGTGTAGGCAAAGGCAAGCAGATCTCTGTGAGTTTGAGGCCAGCCTGGTCTACAGAGTGGGTTCCCAGGCATCCAGGATTGTTACACAGAGAAACCCTGTCTCTAAAAACATTACCAAAAAAAAAAAAAAAAAAAGAGCTAGGAGATAGCTCAGCTGGTTAAAGTGCCTGCTGCACAAGAACATGGACCAGAGTTTAGATCCCCAACATCCTCATAAAAAGCCCTGGCATAGAGGCATGTGTCTGTTTCTCCAGCAATGGAGGAGGTGGTGGCAGACAGGTGGATCCCTCTAGTTCACTAGCCAGTTGGTCTAGCTAAATCAGTGCATTCCAGGTTCAGTAAGAGACCCTGACTCAAAAAATATGGTGGGGTAAATTGATATTGACCTCTGGCCTACACACACACACACACACACACACACACACACACACACACACACACACACACATATTGCACACACCCACTTGAGCACATCTCTGTTGAACCCCGGAAGTGATTTTCCGAAGTAGTTCTCCAAAGAGCATTAGGCTGAATTTGAACAATAGCTTTTATCAGGTTATCTAATCCCTCCTCTACCAACAGCTATCACATCCATGCCCAGACATATATTTACCCAGCGTTACTGAAAGTGAAAAATTACAGCCACAGAGGTGGGGCACTACCTGTTGAAGGTGTACAGTGGATAATTATTTGGCTGTGTTCTTCATTTTCAGCAGTGCTAGTGACATTTGCTGCATCAGCGGCACCTGAATACAAAACAAAGTACATCGAATTCAGAAGATACACAGTTTGAAAGGACCAAATTCCCTCTACAGTGTTTCTTTTATGTGACTAATACAAGATTCGCTTATATGAGGCTTGACAGCATTAAAGATGCTGGTAAAAAGTACTGGGGGGAGGGAGCTGGGGGAATGGGAAGGGCATCATGGTTGGATATGAACAAGATACATTATATACATATATGAAATTGTCAAAGAATACATAAAATATTCTTTTTTTATGCAGGTAGCACAGTAAATGCTACTTTCCTCACAGATTTCATTCTGATCCTTTTCAAATTGATTACAACACAGACAGGTTGATTAATGCCTTAGGGAGGTGTCTATTTCTCAGAGTGGGCACACTTGCCTTTCTCCTTTGTTACACTGTGGTCTTGGAGGCTGCTATCTTCGGTGTTTAAATTTGCATAAGAGTCACACCCCCAAAATGCACAACACTGATAAGCATATGGTACTGATAGAGACCTGGGAAAAGAATTGTAAAACACACACTGAATACCAGATTTGCAGACAGGACTTAAGTCCTGCAAAAACACTGAAGCCAGCCAAGGCACCAGAAACAGCTGGCATATGCTTTCAGTTGGCTATGCATCTTCCCCAGACCAGTTTCCTCATCTATGAAAAGAGTTCTGGTAAACCTCAAGAACACAGCTGGAGGCCCCCCTTTTATGAGTTGTTTCTTAATGTCTGGATGGAAATTAAGTCGTATGTTAAAAATTTCATAACCATGCAGCAATCAAAATATCTCAGTGATCCTTTAATATGGGTTTGAAGCATAGGAAATGGATAGTTTATTTAAAATCAATACCCCAGGTCATCTGTAGCTTTGTTCATATAAACAAAGTGAATATGCTCAAGCCCTTTGCTGCATCTAATGAACCCCTACAAATCTGCAGTCTCTAGGACAGGTGATGGCACTGTGCCAGCTTCCTGTCAGTTCACACTTGGGACATTTCCAGTATCTTGTTGCTAATGACAAGTCCATTAAAAAAAAAAAAATCTGACAAACATCTTTATGAGAGTATCCAGAGCTTAATTCATGCTCTTGACAACTATGGGATAGTGTTCAGGTTCTATTTTCACCAAATTTACAAGGACAGAGGTAGAAAATACTCCTAAATTACAACCTACCAGAAAAAACCTGGAAACCACAGGGGAAGAGAAAAACAAGAGGCTCAGTAATTTGGGGTCTACCATAACTACCAGAAGGAAGAGTGGGCCCCAACAAACGCACCTGAGGTTAGCAAAGTCTCTTGCTGCCAAGGCATCTTTCAGCTTGAAGTTGCCTACAAGTTTTAGTTGATTGAGCCCATTCAGGCCTTCCGTAGGAAGTGAAGTTAATTCATTGAAACTTACATCCCTGAAAGGTGAAAGACACTTCAAGTTAACTCTCTAAGACACAAATCACATACAAATCTCTCCATCTGGCTTCGCAGACAGTTCAGCTGGGAGGGACACTGTGAAGCCTGAAAACCGGAGTTCAATCTCCCGAATCCACGTAGGAGAGAACTCACCCCTAAAGTTGTCTTTTAACCTCCCCATGCATGTTGTGACATGTACACATGTGCACATGTATGCACACACAGAATACATGTAAAAATAAGATCAAAGAAAATCTGTGCATATATATTAACATCATACATATTAGATATTTATGATTATATAATTTTATCTTATTTATGTATATTATTAGATAACTAAAATGAAGCTTAGATGTGTTAAAAAGATAGATCTAGCATAGTTCTTGACACCTAAGAAGCTGTTACTACATCATCACAGCTTAGCATTTATATAAGGAAAGAACTAGAGAAATATTCTGATGTGACCACAGGTTTTGTAGACCATTTACTCCTTATGAAACTGCTTTTACTTACAGGTTGGTGATTGTCCCAAGCTTCGCAAAAGCTCCACTGTGAATTTCACTGATTAGGTTCCTACTCAGATCTCTGCAGTGACAAGGGCAAGATGTTAATGATTTCAAATAAACACTCCAGACTCCAGCCAGTCACTCAGACTGCACTGTATAATCCGAGGTTGTAACACAGCATCCCTTAACCAGACCTTCCATCTTGCCTAACAACATTTCTCAGATGTTTACAGTCACTGCCTCTCATTTACAACACTCTTCCCTGTCGCATTGATTGTAGCTGGCAACTCTTTCAAACCAGTTGTGAATTTTCTCACTTTATCATTCTGGTACCAGTTCCAAAACAGCACCGATATGATATCACCTTTGATACCGTTAACCAGGGCAGGAAACGCCCAAGTCCTGACAAAGCTTAAAAAAATAAAATAAAATAAATGGGCTTCATATTGTTTGCCTTCTCAAAGCCCAAGAGAAGACTAATAATCAATAAGCAAACAAGAGTGCTCAAAAGAGCTTCCGATATCATTCTTTCTCAAAGCAGGAAATAAAACTCCTATCAATGTTAGAGCTAGCCCTACTTACAGAACACACCCTGAAAATTTCTGATACCACAGCATTAACAAACCAGAGAAATAGTGTCACATTTAAATTGGATGTTAACATAATAATAAATTAATATCACATGTCCTGGATAACAGAAACTCATGAAATGACCAGCTTTCAGTTGTCATTTATCAATGCTTTAAAAGTGATGGCAGATATGAGCTGCCCCTGTCCCCTGGAGAATGAACTCAAGAGCCTTGTGTCTAGGAGGCAGATGCAATGCCGCAAAGCCACAACCCAAACCTGTTTCATTTCTTAAAGGGAACCCACTAGAAAAGCAGATTTGGCCGGGCGGTGGTGGCGCACACCTTTAATCCCAGCACTCAGGAGGCAGAGGCAGGTGATCTTTGTGAGTTCGAGGCCAGCCTGGTCTACAGAGCGAGACCCAGGAAAGACACAAAGCTACACAGAGAAACCCTGTCTCGAAAAACCAAAAAAAAAAAGCAGATTCAATAGATGTAATTTCTCCTCAGTGTCAATTTTTCAAACCTTTTCTATATTTAAAAATTATTCATTAATTGAGTCCATTACATTTTCTGTTCTTAGTCAACTCCATATTCCCAGGATTAGTAGCGTGCCAGGCAAAAGTATGCATTTAAATTTAAGTGTTTTAAATGGGTACATCTGCTTCATATGAACTATATTTAACAAGACAGGTACTCCAGAACAGGGCCAGCAAACTTCTCTTTGTAAATGCCAAAGAGTAGATCTTTTCATCTTCTGTTTTTTTTTTCTTTTTTTTTTTTTTTCTGCTACTGCTCAATTGTACCACAGCCTGAGAAGAGCAGCTTAAATCAACATTTCCCCAAGAGGCCTGGCTGTGTGTCCACAATCTTCGTAACTACAAGAGGCTGCAGACAGCACACAGGCTGGGGTCGGCCTACTCTTGCTCTAATGAAGCTCCAAACTCGCTCAACTTGAAAACAAGTATAAACATTTCACTGGCTAAGAACCAATATCATAAATGAGCTATGGTGAAAAGTACCAAAAGTAGATCGTAAAGTATCACTAGGTAAAGTCTAAATGATGTTTATAAAATATCAAGCATGTTTTAAGTGTTATTAGTAACATGGAAATCATTGTGACAGTTTTCACTGTCAACTTGACAGAATACGGAATCACTTCAGAAAGGAGTGTCAATGAGGGACTGTCTATCAGGCTGCCCTCTGGGTGTACTCATAGGGGATTCTCTTGATTACATTAATTCAGGTGTGAAGAACCACTCACTGAGGGTGGTACCATGTCCTGGGTAGAGGACCCTATACTATATAGAGTGAAGAAGACTAGCAGGTCAGGCATCCATTAACATCTCTCTGTCCTGGACTGTGATGTAATGTGACCTGGACTGAGGTATCATGGGACCTGCATTGTGGCATCATGTGATCTGGACTCTGATATCATGTGACCTGGACTATGATGTCATATGATCTAGATTGTGATGTCATGTGACTAGCCTCTTATAGTCCCTGCCACCTTGACTTCCCTATAGTAACCACAACCTGGAATTCTGAACCAAAGGAACCTTTTCTTCCTTTTATCAGGGTTTTTTGTGCTATTTTACCACAGCAGAAGGAAACTGAAGACAATCATGAAATGTAAATTTATAGCTTGACAAAGCTTTGTCTTTAATAATCACAGACAAACTTACAGAATTCTTAGGGATGATAGGCCTTGAAAAGTGTTTTCCTTTATTAGGTAGATTTGATTACGCTGCAATGAACTAAAAAATAAATAAGAATGGGGGAAGAGAGGGAAGGTAGAGAGAGATTAATAAACAAGAAGGAAAAAATTCTATGTTGAAAAGTAATATTCTCTGTGAAGTTTTTTACAAATTCAAATATTTATTACACTGATCTTGTTGAAAGTAAAAAATGTAATTTCTTTATCTACAAAATGAAGAAATTAGACTAACTGATATTCTGCCTCAAGTTATACTGGGAAACAGTTAACTGGTACCCTATCTAAATTCCCACCGATCTTACTCAGATATGAGAGAAGAAAGATGACTAGTGAGAAAAAATTTGAGATCTGGCATGGCAGGCAGCAGAGGAAGGAAAAGTGGGGGACAAAAAGAGGAAGAGGAGAGAAAGGGGAGGGGATGCGGAGAAGAGAGAAGAAGAGGAGGAGGAGGAGGAAGAGGAAGGGCAGGAAGAGGGGGAGGAGGAAGAGGAGGGGCAGGAGGAAGGGGAAGAAGTGGGGGAGGGGGAGGGGAAGGGGGAGGAGGAGGGGGAGGGGAAGGAGACGACAATTAATACCTCTGGCATACTGGAAACTAATATTCAGATCTGTTCCCCTCAGTAGCCAGAATCCATTTTTCTGTTTTCTGAAATAACTGCCCTCCCTTAGAGATTCTGACGGAATGTCTAATAGATAGAATGTCTAATAGAAGAATAGATATACCTTTTCCTAGGCAGGAAATCAAAATTGTTAGAGACAGCAGAGTTAGTTCTATTTCTAGGAACATAACCTCAAATTATTGACATGCTAGAACTAATGAACCAGAAAAAAAAAACTCTATAACCAAACTTAAACTATGCCATAACAGAAACATAAAAATTGGATAAATTCATTTCAAGGAACATCTCCTGGGTAACAGAAAAATTTCCCATTGTTACAAAACATGAAAGAAATGGTCACTACAGTAACACATCAGACACAAGGACATTTTATTTACAGGAACTATATGAACCTCTGATTTCTTGCAACAATCCATTATAGGAACCGATTGGTGAACAGTATACTACAACAAGATAGGTAAGTCAAAAGCCAACTTACATTTCTTCCAAAGCGTGACAACCATTGAAACTTGGAAGGTCTCTTATGTTGTTGTAAGACAAGTCCCTAAAAACAACAGAACAACTTAATGCCATTATTAAAATGCTATAGTAAAAGCGCTGTGCATAGAAGCATGGAAAATAGCACTAAGGTCTTCCAAAGAGGAGAGCTGGCAAGAAAAACAAGCTTTGTTCTCCCTGACGTTCCCTGATCAATCCAAGACTTGAGATTTATAAAGTTAAAGAACACAGTGTTGAGTGTAAACAATATAAAATATGCTAAAATATATTAAGTTCTGCAACATATATAAAAGATAACGTGCATAACGTCTGTGTTGAGTAGTAAAGCTATAGATTTTTAGAAAATTTATATTTTCCAATACATTTTTATGTCATGTATTATGCTGTTCTTTAATTAAAAGGCTTTGCTACATCTTTTAGATCATGTATATGAAATTATGTCAGAGTAGTTAACGTTTGGTGTCACTGGGTTTTCCCTCGTGGCACTCATCATGTGTAAGTTAGGGGGTCCACTATAACATGTAATTACTCAGTCAATCCATCATTTATTTTGTTGTAATCTCCTTTAAGTACTTACAAATCAGGATCTAATTGTTTGTTCTGCTGAGAGCTCTACGTCTTCCCTTTTAATTCCTACGTCAGCATACAAATTTGAGAAAGCTACAATTAATTCATTCTTAACTCAAAAAAGCAGTGCTGCGGGATCTGCTTAGTTACGAATGAAAGAGAAAATGTGTGTGTATGTGGCGGGGGACGATGCCCAAGTGAATCAAAACAACACTAATTAGTCTCTTAGTTTAATTAGAGACTCCAAATAAAGTAACAAAACAATTAATACACGATAACATAATACACGATCCTAAAAATCAAATTCAGACGCACACCCCCTACCCTGTGAAGTGAACCCCTTACTTACATGAAAGAAACAAAGAAGAAATAATGAAACATCATTATTATGATCCATAACACATAATACCTTATGAACAACCTTATGAACATAGTGCACTCAAAACAAGTGAGCATCTAAAAAAGCACATGAAAGGAAGGTATAGGGAGAAGGAGAGAATAAGCCAACTCACAGAGTCCTCAGCATCTTCTGGTTTTGGCACAGATTATCAGGTATGCTGCTTATCTTTGTCCCTGTTAAGGTTCTGTGGAAAAACAATTATTTACTTAAGAGACAGTTCAAGTCGGGATAGTGCACGAAACGCCCCTCTTATATACAAAGTGAATGTTTGGACATTAGTGCATATGTGCCTGTGCACCCCACTGCCTAACTACCAATTAAAGGTAGGCATGTAGGAAGGCGAACTCTCGATCCAGCATCTGCACAACAACGAAAAAGAGCTGTGGCATAAGATTTGAACCCTGTCCAGGGAACAGCTTGAGTTCCCACAACCCGCCATCTTTCCTCACACCACCTAACCCATTTGAAACCACCCCGGAACCCGACGGCAAGTTACGTCTCTGCCTTTTCTTTCTGTCAGCCAGCTCAGCATTCTGAAGCATCACTCCTCTCCCCTCTGCCTCTTTCCCCATCTGTAGTCAATCACCAGTTCCAGCTATTTCTTCTAACACAGTATTCTACTATCTCACCCCTGCTCTCCCTTTCTTTTCTTTTTTGCTGCTATGCAGATGAAGGATGAAATACTTCAATATTTCAGGAAGCGAGCCGTAAAAGAATCTGATCATGCCCTTCGTTCCAGAAGAACTCCACTATGGACTGAATGCCTGGAGCACAGTTAACCGGTGTAGCTTGGGCCATGCGCTCACTGTCCTACATCTTGATCTCTTCACTGTACTCTTCTCACACTCCCTGGACCAATATTCTCAACATGCACAAACTACCTTAAGGACCAAACTGGAACTCTTTCTCAGTGCTTCCCAACTTCTTTTATTCCCTACATGAAAATCTTACCACTTAAACAGTGCACCATAGTAAAACTCCTACAGATAACAGCCCTGGGCTACTCCAGGCCCAAGCAGGCTACCTTGAGGGCTGACAGCAAAATCACAAAAGCACCTATACTCCATTCACAGACCAGTCACCAGGAATCTTCTCTATAGCCAGATGTACAGGAGCTCAAGATTTGGTCATTTAAAAACCTTGTCCCAAATAATTTTCCCAATGTCTCATCCCACATTCCCATTCCACTATAAACATGTGAGTCTTATCCATATTTCATCGTCTGCATGCCACCTTAGTATATTTTTGGTATTCCTTGTCTGATTAAAACTTGCCTTTCTAAGTGAAAGTTTCAACTCTGAGAAACTTGACATTACTTAATTTTCATATATTGCATCTCCCCCAAGGTGCCTTTTTTTTTTTTATGATCTAGATCATTTGGTCCTGCTTTTGAATTTCTGAAGTTCTGCTTCTAATTAGCCATTTAGTTGCTACTTCTCAGTAACCTTTTCAGATCCGTCCACACTGGAGGCTGCACTCTGCCTGAGCTAAATGACCTCAAGCCTAATACACTCATCTCCAAGCTTGACAGTCACAAAAGGAGTTTAAAAGAGTGACCATAAATCCATCCCCATCACTAAAGAGCACTGCACTCTGCAGCACACTGGACTGCAATGCTGTCTTTACGTAAGGATCACACATACAGACTCTCCAGATGGGCAGTTCCGGTCAGGTTGGGGAACCACTGCACCAGGCTTGCACCACGAATAACTCTGTAAGAAATTGGGAAGAGAAAAAAACGAATTTAAAACAAACTTTTTCTTACATAGTATTTTCATTTTTTTATCTTGAAATTACAACATTATAAACATATATAATGGGTTTTGTCTCTTGAAGGTTCTTAAAAATGTGATAATTTAGTCAAGTGTTCACATAAATAAGAATACTTTAAAAACTGTTAGAGTTATCCTTTGAAATGTCACATAAAGGGCAGGGAAAAGAAATTTGTTTTCTGAAGCTACAACAATACTAATTCTTGTTTTTTGTTTAACAAGCTGCATAAATATTCAGGTGTGTTTTTAAACTTGCATAATACTTACAAGGAATGCAGATCAGACAGGTTGTGAAATGCTGAGTTCCCCACAAAAGACAGAGGATTATCATACAAATGGCTGTGAAAATATCCAAAAGAGGCAATGTTTTCATATGCTTATGAGCACTCTGAGATGAAATCCATATTCCCTGTGTCCATATATCAGAAAGCCCGAGTTTTTTTACTTTTGTTGCTGATATCTGGCATTTCTCGACATAGCTGCACGTGATTATATATTCAAAGAAACTTTCAAAAATACTTACATAGTTCTTAACAGTGGATTACCACCAAATGCTCCATCAGGGATAACAGAAATAGAGTTGCTGTGAAATCCCCTAGGACGACAGGAGGAAACCACTCTGAAACCAGTTAAAACCAGAGTGCCCACTGCTGCCCAGCATTACATCAAACAGAATTGATAGCGTTAACATAAACATCATGAAAACTGAGAAACCTGAATTTTGAATTCCATTTTACTTTATTCTTTTGAAACCCACTCCTTAGCCAGGAATCTTATCGGTTCCTGTTGCTTCACCATCAAAGAACTTTACGGCATGAAGATCTACAGTGAAATAAGCTCCAAATCGCCACCGCAGAGGCCTGCATTTTACCTCTGCAATGTGAATTCTCAGTTCGTGACACAATCTCTGTTGTGCCATACACATGCCTATCATCGCCGCTCAAGACAAACCCAGCCTCTAGATGCTCCCTCAGTCCTTTCGCTTTTTAAGTTTTCCTACCGTTTAGATGTGGTCAAATTCCTTTCTTTTAGTGATTTATCTTCCAATGACCCCAGGCTTCAGTGAGATCTTTTCGTGGAATGATTTATTTGTCCTACTTATTCACACCTGATTTCTATATGGAAACAGTTATCTGCTGACATTCATGCTCTGCCTTTCTAGTGAGCTAAGACTGCAAGCTCCTCCAGGCAGACTGTACCTCATGCCTTTTAGTCAGGAGCATCTACTCCTGTACAATAATCTATGCTCACAACCATTTGTGCTAATACAGTCTGATTTGTGGACTGACTGTGCATGTGTTTGTATGTGTTATAGATCTATATAATGAGAAGAAGATGCTCCAAGAACTAACTACTAGAGCATTTAATGGTGAGCTCCAAGATGCTCATCATAAAGAGAAAAAGCAATACTTACAGCTCTTTTAGGCTGGGAAGGGCTTTAATAGCCTGAGGAAATTCATCCAAGTTATTATAATTCAAGTCCCTAGGAAAAAAAATCGGAGAAAATATCAAGAATAGTGATCAGCAGTCATAAACTGTAAGACATTCTGGTATAAACACACATTAAATGATCACAACCTGTAGTTAACAATCTTTCTCTCCCAACTACATTGTCATTCAAAACCCTATAGGAGCTTAATTTAATTTACAGATATTTAGAGAATATTAAATAGGAAAAGTTATCTTTATGCTTTTAGGTAAATAAATAAATAAATAATAAATTTGCAAGCTCAGAGCACTATCAGATCACATGGCCACTGAAGGGTTAAACACACAAATCTTGTGTCATTTCTCGGAAAATTTACCATCAAGTAGAATTTATTAAGCATCCACGTATAGGTGACAAGAGTATGAAACTTAGGCTTCCCTTGAAGTGGACAGCAGCTCCCTGCAATTCTGATATAAGAACTTGAAACGAGAAGCCAACGGAAAGACCAGAGTTGTTCTCATGCAGGTCATGAATTACTGACAATGGTATATTCACTAGGGAGAGATTAAGCCACAGTGATCTATAACAATGCAGGTCTAGTTCTGAGAGTGACTATATTTTAATTTCTCTTAACATAAAAAAAAAACCCATGATAGCATATGGTTATTGTGGCTGATTTCCGAATGAGAGAGAAAAGGAATTAAAAGTCAGCTTCTTTAAAACCTACTGATTTCCTTTTCTACATAGAAGGGAAAATGGTAAATAAAAACTAAATTAACTGGGAAGAAGACATTTAATTTTAATATAATTTGAATAGCATACATGGCCTAGCTTTTATTACCACCTAATTAAATATATCCAGCAGAGGAGACCTGAGTTTAGAGCTCAAATATCCACTGGTGTCTATTATTTGTTTTGACAAGAAAGTTGATTAAGGTCCTATAAAACTTGAAATCGTCTCAATAGCTCACAGTTAACTAGAAATTTCAGTTCAACAAAATACTACAGATCTTAAGTATTCCAATTAGGTCATCCAAAGGAGACATTCTCCAAATCTGTTTACTGTATTACAACAGTAAACATCATGCATCTTTAGATACAGGTAATAATGCAACTAATATAAATGAAAACAACAAAAGCGAACAATCTAGTTTCAATTACACACAGCTATACAAGGTCTGCTGGTTTAAGACTGGACAATGTGTAGTCCAAAGAGCCAGAATCCCTCTTCAGCTAGTGGGAACACAGCATCATGCAAAATTTTAAAACATTAATTTGTTACATATCAGCATATGAAAACACATGCTATTCCAACCAATTTAAACAATTAGCTAGGTTACTGAAATCATAGTGGAAAAATCAACAATAAATAGCAAACTATCCCAAATAGAATTAGGTTTTAGAAATGTCAAAGTTCCCAAACTGTCACAAATTTAACAAAATTAACATTTTAGAAAGGCTAAAATGGAGCTGCTTTTAATACATATTTGGGGAAGGGGAAAGTTTTAAGTTCACATTTAAGTACTAGTTTTGAATCATAAATTGAAATTATTTTTCACAAGTGGGTTATTAGATGGTGAAAACTGAGTTGTTAATTGAAGCTTATTAATAATGAGCTATTCTCAATGTCTTTCCTTCAATTGCAGTATGTTTAAGATTGCACTGTCCCAATGACAATGTGACTGTACAAAATATAAATGTACTTACAAAGTTTCCAGGTTATCTAGTCCATCAAAGCAGTGTTGACTGAGGCTTTTAATTTTATTGTTATGAAGATGCCTATGGGAAAAAAAACACCAAAATGACATTCACATTTCCCAAATGCAACTGTTAGAAGCTTAATGTGTCTAAAATGGTGCGGCTGAAAGCAATGGTATAGCTAAACATTTCCACACTCAATTACAGAAAGCTGACAGTGACTCCCTGAAGACACAATGCCAACATTAGGGGGCAACTAATGCAGAAAATGGTGACACACTGAAGATTACTTGATTTTCATTCATATCAAAATAAAACTTTAGATTAGCTCTTCCTTTACATGAAGCAGAGCACTGGTCCATTCTCTGGGGTGAGAAGACAGTATTATGGAATTTTATATCACTGAAGATGGAAATAGATTCTAAAAGAAATGAGACTGGTTAAAAAGGGGGGGGGGGCGGTGGTGGCACACGCCTTTAATCCCAGCATTCAAGAGGCTGAGGCAGGTGGATCTCTGTAAGTTCAAGGCCAGCCTGATCTACACATCGATTTCCAGGACAGCCAGGGCTACATAGAGAAACCCTATCTTGAAAAACAAACAAACAAAAAAAAAAAAAAAGAGAGAGAGAGAGAGAGAAAGAAGAAAGAAATGAGATTGTATTATGTCTTACTGAGTTTTGAAAGATGAAAGACATGGATAATCAAGAACTTTCTGAGCGGAAAAGTTGGAAAAAATACAAAACATCCTTTGAACTTATTGCTCTGAGCATTTCAAAACAGTTTCCCTTCCTTTAACATTGAATAAACAAATTCATTGTTAGGATAAAAACAAAGGTTATACAAAAGCAAAAGTTATAAAAAAAAAAGTATTTGGTGAATGATCCAATTTTTTTTAAAAGGTGATTACAAGTGGCTACTTATTTTTAAAAGACTCAACATCTATGACCAGGTATTATTCAAGAAGTCAGCATGTTTGACCTTATCAAGGGCAACTCCCCCAAATACTAACTGTCTAGAAGCAAGATCACTGGGCCACTTATATAATAATTTGTCACAAGAAACCCATCTTGCCCCCAAATTAACACAAACATACAGTAATAAAAGGGTTGGACACATACAGAACCACCAGGCTTGAAAGGTTGGTGAACGCAAAGTCAGGGATGCTGGAGATGTTGTTGAGAGCCAAGGTCAGTGCCTGGAGGGTTGGCAGGTTGCTGAGGGGACGCACAGGCACTTCCGTCAAGCTGTTGTCATCCAGCCACAGATGCCGTAACTGAACAAGCCCTTCAAAACTGTCCTCGGGGACTGAGGTAATGTGGTTGGCATCTAAGCGTCTGAGAAACAGAAACATTCACGGTGAGGAAGGAGTCAATTTGGAGATGACAGCTCTAGCACTTCCAAACAGAAAGGAGTTATAAAACCAGCCTGAACCATGCTGACCTCTCTTTATTTAACTGTAATAGAAGTCTTGAAAAACAACACAAATCTGAAACTTCCAAGATCAGTACATCAGAGTTCTTTCCTGGCTAACTTCATTATGGAAGGATATACTTATAACTCACAAAGCTCAAGCTGGGGATTTATGTTTCAGAGTATACCTACCTGAGTTACAGAAAGAGGGCTAAAGAGATGGCTTGGCAGTTAATCCTGTGCCCACATACATGCAAACACACTGACCCAGACACACACACACACACACACACACACACACACACACACACACACACACACACACACACCCCACATGAAAAAGATACAGAAAACAAGAAAAATGAAGCTGAGCAAATAAACTACTATACCTCCAGTGTTACAGTACAGCCAATATTTTAGATTGAATTTAACTGTTACTCTGATTTGATACCAAAAGGAAAAATAAGTAAATGTTTACAATTTTTCAAATAGCAACAAACCCATTTCAGTAGATTCTCAACTACGTTAGCAGATCAGTTAAAACATGTCCTATTGGTAAAGTAAATTTCTCTCAGTGCTAAATATTTAAGGTTGCCAAAAGTTAAGTCACTCACAAAGGGTCAGACTGTTCACAGGAAAATTAAACTTCTGCAATCAACACTACTATGGCTTTAAGGTTTCATCTCTTTCAGAAAATTCTGGAATTCAGGGCCACCTAATTAACAGGATTATTTAATGTTTAAGTCTCCATCTAAAAACCTGGAAGCTAAATCCCAAGTATTTCTTTCTGTTGCCATAACCAAGTATAATTGTTATAATCACTTTTCAATACAAAGACAGCCTGGTGTTAGCAGGATGAGGAGCTGTACGAGCCAGGAAATCCTAGCGTTCCTCATAATCTCTTGCTGATGTTTATCACATGCATTCCTGTCTCATAGCCTTGGACCTCTCTGTGAAAGTTAGGGAAGAGAAAAAAACTGATAAAAAACTCAATGGCTTTTTTTTTTTTTTAAGAAATGGCATCTGGCAACTTTAAAGTACAAAACCTTCTGAGTTTTAAAGAGATTTCCCTGCCTTCTGTCTTTTTATCCTGCTCCAACTTCAGCCCCTACCATTACTGCCACTTTCAACTGCAGGCAACTGCTGCTCTCCCACTCCCAGCTACCTGCTCTCAGCTCACACATTTTCCGTCCTGAGGCAGTTAGCAAGGGCTAATGACCATGGGTCCTTGTGGATATCTAATGGGCAGCTTCTGATAGCATCAACACTGAAGAGAGATCTTAGGAAACTCCACTAGCCATAAACATCTTTAGGTTTATATATTCCCTGGGTATTTCTAGAGCTTATCCATGAAAAGATACTGGTATCTTCAACATAGCAGACTGGCAATGTACTAGAGACAGAGCTGCTTAGTTGTTTCGCTGTTATTTATGCTTTAATGGACAGATAAGAAAGCGTTTAAACACACAGATACAAGCCATAACCTCCGGGAACCCATTCTTGGGAAGAAGACACTAACCATAGTCATAGAGATTAACCACACAGTGTAACTGAATTACACTTGTAGATGATTTGATTAGCTGCAATTCCCTCTACATTCAAACTGACATCTTGTTAGACATAAAAGATGAAATGGTATGGTAGGAGGCACTCTGTGGGTGGGAGATGCACAGAGTAATAAATGACAAAGTGAACAGAGTGCTTAAAAAAAAAATGCAGCCAAGTAAACGGCAGGGCGGGGGACGAAAACCGACGGACACTGGGAGCAGCAGGAGCTACCAAAAATGTACACGGTTCGGACAATTATCTTTAAAAAGATGATATTTACACTGGAGCCTAAGGAATTAGCAAGGGCAAGCAGAAGTTGAGCAGGAAGTGTTTTAGGCAAAGATCAAGGCCAACAGAGACAAGCTTGGAAAGACCACCCAGCTCCCTGAAGGTCAGAGTGACGAGAACACAGGGGTGGAGGGAGGGTCCAGGGAAACATGCCTGTGACTGTAAACAGAGTCCAGAATACACAGGCCCCATAGGTCAAGAGAGAGACTTGGGTTGTATTTTGATTACAAATTAAATTTCTTCCCCAGTTTCTCCCTGTCACAGCAGTTTAAGTGTTTAAATTACTTATTTTATCAGTGATGCTAAATTGTATTTATATTTAATAATGCCCAGAGGCACTTCTAAGTAAGCCAACAATACTTTACAGAAATCAAGTCTCCTCTATAAAATGTTTCATTAAATATGACAAATACCATACATAGTGAACATTCAGTACTAGCGATACACATTCCTATGAATTCCCCATCATATACCATCAACCAAGTGAGTCTGAAGTAAGAAAACAATGAAACTCTCATTTATGTGAAAAAGTAATACAGTAGTGAAGGCACAGATGCTATCTCTGCTAAGTTTTCCAAAATCAGAAAAGTGCACACAAGTAAGAGCACAAACAGAAGAGCTATAGAAAAAATGGTACCCTGGGATATGAAGCTAAAATGAGTAAAAAGGACTTGTGGAGTCTTGTAAAACAAGGGATTCAAGAGTTTAATCTAAATACCCAATTCATGTGGGCATCAGCGGCACACCTATAAGGGTAAAGACTTATACTGAGATCAAAGCTTAAAGGAAAAATTTTAAATGTGGTTTCTTGTAACTTGGTGGTAGACAATTTGACGAGTATTTGAAAGGCTCTGGGTTCAATCTCTAACACTATAACCAAAACAGAGAAATGGGGCTGTGTCCCAGTGACCTACACTATTAACAGCCATCCTAACAGACCAAGAAGCAGTATAATGGACTGTTAGAGGAGGCTAAGCAGCATCCTATCTCACAGAATGGAGAGATTATGTGAGCTTCTGCAATGTCCTAATATCAAAACTCCATACAGTATGTATATATTACTTTTAAGTCCTAAAAAAATCCCTTTCTAAAAGGTTAGCAATATAGTAACCATATTTTATCTTGAAAATGTATATTGTCAATTCTCAGGAATGCATTTTAGCCTTAAAACACATCTTTTAATTTTTTTTTTTTGCCTTAAATAAAATTATAGTGACAAAATATTACTGTAAGGGGCCTGGAAGATTTCACATCATTCTAACAACTTGTCACCTTGTGGGATCTGACCAAAGCCCAAATGACATGAGTCAGTGACCAGCAGGACCACACCCTGAGACTGACTGCTTGATCAGTGGCCTTCCATTTAAACGTTAATCTCACTTCAGAATCCCAAAGATGGGACTTGTGGGCTCAATGGATCTCTTTGTTCCTCTTTCCAATGTGGCCACATTGAATAAATCTCCTTTTCCTGCTTCCCACTATTAATTTGACTTTCTTTTTTTTTTTTTCCCCTCTGTGTAGTTTTGCGCCTCTCCTGGAACTCACTTTGTAGACCAGGCTGGCCTCGAACTCACAGAGATCCGCCAGGCGGTGGTGGCGCACGCCTTTGATTTGACTTTCTTAATTGGATTATTAAGGACAGGTGGCTGAATCTGGCTTCGAGCACAGTTTGTGAGCCCATGTTCTATAACTGTCCTAGTGTTGAAACAATCTGTGATCAATAAACAAATATTCTGTGTAATCAAAAGCTCTTTTCTAACTTTTCAATAGGGCAAATATTATAACAGACTTTTAAAATATTTAAGAAATCCAAGGGCATTTCATCTTTGAGATCCTTTAATATTCAATATAAATTCGATGTAAAGAAAAACTACCACAGAGCTCATTCTGACTGCCATTTTAATATTGTGCTCTGGTAATGACTTTGTAAGAGGCGGTTACAGTAGCTATCTTTTTATTAATACTTACAATCCACTCTGACTTTCTAGTCACCATCAAGCATGCACTTATCTCAAACACCTTCTGGTCAATTTCAACGCCTAATGAACTTTGTTCTTTTCAAGGTCTGTGGTGAAACCACAAGGAAATCTTTACCGTAATTCGGGTCTGAAGATCAGATTTGAAAACTGACTCAAATGCTGATAAGGCTGTTTTACACCAGGGTAGAATTTCAATGATATCTCACTTGACCACAACACCCACTATGCTAACAAACCCGAGAACACTTCTTTCTTAAATACAGCACGGCTGATACAGAGCTCCTCCTACAGTTTCTGTTACATATGAAAGCAGCATGTGCACGCACTCACGCGCGCGCGCGCGCACACACACACACACACACACACACACACACACACACACACACACACGCGGAGGGAGGGGGTGAATATTTTTTGAGTTGAGTTTTTATTCTCATAACAATTTGAGATGATTTGAGCAACTGTGCACCGAGTACGAAGCACCCTGAGCTTTGGTTAACTCCAGTTTCTGTACCAGCGCCACTTCAATTCACCCATCTTACTAACAAACACCACATGCTCTGGAATGTACGTGCTGACCACAAGTAAGAAACAAGCTGCTGAAATTTTCTTGGTAATTTTTCTGTCCTGAACTTGAAAATGAGATTTTAGTTTTCTCTTTTTTGCCTTAGAACTAGGCGAAATAATTGGTCCTTTGATCATTAAGTCTTGGAAAACAATGATTCAATGTGAAGGTCTTAAAGTCAAATCAATTAATTGTAAAGTACCAAAAGAAAACAGGACCTATTTAGGACATTCAGTGAATTTAGATCTGGAGGAGATCAGACCCCTCCCCCCAAACGCCTCCTTAGTTGCAGAGCTTACTTAGCCAAACAGTTCTGTAAAAGCAACTTGTTCTAATTGACTCATTCTGAGTCAAATGTGCTCTGTAAGCAACAAATCCTTCTATTCCATAACTTCCCCGTTTTGTAAAGTGAACTATTTAATATGCATAATCTTAACTTCTATCTGAACTAAAACTTCAATGGCCAACACCCAGGGTACTCCCTGTTTGTGACAGACATGATTTAAAGTTTAACTTTTACAACCTGTGTTTTATTAGTATGTTTTCACTCTAACATTCATTTCACACTGATTACTAGTATCTCTGCTAAGAAATTCAAACTAATTAGGCTTCTGGAACAGGTCTGTCTGGTTTTGAATCCCCACTGTGCCTTTACTAGCTATGTGCTATTGGGCAAGTTACTTAAAATTCTCTCTACAGTCATTTGTTCATTACTTATCAAGAACGCTGTTGTAAGAAAAGCATTCAGAATCATATAAAAGCCAAGTTCTTTGTATATGAAGAATGTAAAAACGCAAATAAAGTGGTATTAAAAAAAACACTCAAAGTTAATGACTGCTCATGGAAAAATCCAAGAATTAAAAACCTGCATATGCCATATAAAACCAAAGTTTTATCAAAAAAGAAAAAACCTGGGAAAGGAGTGAGCTCAGACAGCCAAGTTATCCCCAAAATGTATTTCAAGCCCACAGGTCAGATGCTAAACTCAATTGATACCAATTACTGAATTGCCTAACCCAGAATCATCGTGGCTGTCAGGACACCAGACACCAGAACTCCTGCACATTTAACTCTGGTTTCAGAGTATCAGCAGCCATGTACACCCTACACTCACAGATGTTCCCCAAGCCAGAGTCAAGAAAGTACACTGAAGGACCACTTTATGCCTCACCAAAGAATATTTTAATAACAGCAACTGGCCGTCCCCATTTTCATCTCAGGGAAGAGGATAAAGCTCATCTGGCCTTGGGTTCCAGGCCCTTACTCTTGAGCAGCTACAGTGGCCCTCCAATGACCCAAGAATGCAGAAGACAAAACACTACTTACAAAGACTGCAAAGCACTCAGTCCATGAATGGCTTCACTGGGTACTGTTCTCAACTGATTATTCTGGAGTGTTCTGGAACAAAATTTTTGGTTTGCGATTAGTAAGTCATACTTTTTTTTCATAGAAGAATATGGAGTCATATTTTTTTTTCCCTAAAAGAATTTCTAATGGCATCGAAAGTGGGGTGTGTGGAGTGGAAAGCATCTAGGGCGAGAAAACTGCACAATGTAAAAAAGTGTTTGCTCTAAACTCAGAAATGAAATGGATGCTGCTATCCTAGGCCATTTCTTAATGCTGCTGCTGGGTGACCGCATTTCCAGGGGTTGTTTCATTCCTGGGCACCCTAGGATGTTCACTAGGATGCAGAATAAATTCATTGGGGGGTCTAATTAACAAGCCTGTCAGAATTTCTAATGCTTTCTCAAAGCAGAAGAAAGCAGAGCCCAGAAACCTGGGCATTAGCCAGAGAAAGGCAGTTTGCAAGGAGAGCAGACATTGGGCCTTTAGGGAGAAGCCGCAATGGCTTTGGTGCCTGCAGGAAACATTATTACCCCTCAGTCACTGTAAAGCCGGGACCTAGAGAACGGAGGCAGAGAGCTCTCTGGAAAAACGAAATCCTTTCCATTTCTACCGAAAGCCACGCTTGTCACCACATCTTGTAAGAGGATCACCCAAAAGCACAGAATCAGAGAGGTCTGGTGACTCTGCCTGAGCAGTCGCGGCAAAAGGGGAGGAAGGGGTGGCTGTCAACCCACCCCATCTCCAGGTTGTCGCACTCCAAGCTCCTGCATGGTCAGAAGTTTCTCTTCTGATCTCTGACTATCTTTATAAATCATGGGCAATTTCTTCAGCTCTAAAATGCTTTTTTAACATGTTACAAACCTCTCTCCCTTTAGGGTGGACTAATTCAAAAACCCCTATAGCTATAAAGTCAGTAGAAATGAAACCCTACCAATAAAGTTTAAATGTGGCTTTGATTAAATACATTAGCAGCACCGAAAGTCTGTGATGCCCTGGAGATCAGAATACTTACAATTTAGAATTTTAACCTTCGTTATCTAGACCCACGTTTGCCCAGACCAACCTCCAGCCTGCTCCACTGCCCATTGGCCATGCCTTAAACCTTTTAATCCTCAACTAAAAGAAACTGTGCTTAACCTAGCTCCAAGCATGTTGACTCTGCAGAAAGAAAATACACAGCCAGCTGTGAAGCTTGAAAACTGCATACTTACAGGACTTTGAGCTCTTTCAACCCAGACAAGGCTTTGGGGTGGATAAAAGAAAGGTCGTTGCCAGCCAGTTGTCTAGAAAAAAAGTAACAAGAGAAAAAAAAAACTAATTCAGAGTTAAAATTCAGAATCCACAGTAACCTAACTGTGATTAAAACTCTGTACTAAACATTTCTCAAGACGACAGGACATTAAACAGGGACTTAAACCCTTGCTAAAGCAGTCCCAAGATTCTTCCAATGAATTAAGTATGTCTAGAATTTTTCTTTTTAACTTCCAATACAATAATTTAAGTAGGCACATTTTTATTCTGGTGAGGTCAAGCAAGCCAAAACACATTAAGCCAAATTAAGTTTGCTATTCACGGTCACTCTGCAGCTTGCAGTGTTTTCTGGGGGCCTCGTAAATACAGCCTACTAGTCAGCAGACAGGAGTGTTTACACAGAGGGGAGCAAACCAGTCTGTCAAAGAAGAATGCTTTCAGGAGGCAAGTCAGCTTGTTCTCTCCACAGAAACCCAGGACACCATACTCCAGACAAAAAGGAAGAGCTGTTGGGAGCCTAGATTCCAAATAAAGGCTGGAAAGTAGACACTTAAAGAAACTGTAAAATAGAAAATTTAAGTGGGAGTAAAGTGAATAAAGAAGGATATGAATTCCTTGTACCCTTTGCTCATTTTTTCATCCCATTTCCTCAGGCCTATAGCTCAGAAACATTAAAAAAGGAAAACAAAACAAAGCGGAAATAAAGCAGAAACTCGTATAAAATCACCTGCAAACAGGTAACCTGGAAAACTGTTGCTAAATATGGACCATTAACTGGCAGTTCTGCCAGAGCACAGTACTCTCCACTTCTTGATTCTACCAGGGTAGGTCTTTCAAGCAGACGGATTCTGTAACTGATTTTTTAAAAAATAGTCTTCCCATGTATTCAAAGGGAGCTTGAGATACTCCTAGTTACAATTTAGTTTCAATTAATTTTTTAATTTATAAAACAAAATTTGTAATTTCTCCTTCAAGCAGGTCTATTTCCAGTCAGACAGTACATGCCTGTACTCGGGAGGCCGAGACAGTACAATCTCAAGCTGAAAGCCAGCCTGGGATATACAGTGAGACCCTATCTCAAAACTGAGAAAACAGGAGCTGGAGAGATGGCTCAGCTATCAAAAGCACTGGGTGTTCTTCCAGAGGACCCAGGTTTGACTCCCAGAACCCACAGGACAGTTTACAACTATCAGTGACCCTAGTTCCAAGGGGTCTGATGGCCTCTTCTGATGTCTGAGGGCACCAGGAAGACATGTTAGTATACGTACATACATATAGACAAAACACTTCTACACATTAAAATAAAATATCTAAAAGAAAAGAAAATAATTTCCTCTGCTCTCTCTGGTCACTCTGTAAACATCCTATATCCCTGGGCTTCATTTAGTTTATTCATTCACAAATCAAGTTCTAGTTGCTACTGAGTGCTAAACATTCAACATCCTCTCCCCCTTCTTTAATCGGCTACACTTACTACCTTGATTTTAGGGACACAGGGAAAACATCTTCACTAACTACAATTCAAAGTAATGAAGGTCTGAAATTCTACCATAAGTGCCTTGTTTTCTTCTAAGGTTTTGTACCACTTAAAATGCAAACAGCATTAGAAAACCTGACTCCACCTGAGCTCTGGTCCACAACCAGACATATGTTCTGAAGACGGGTGGAGTAAAACAGCTCAGAAATCCCAAAGATACATATGATAAATAATTTCATCAAAGTAAACACTGCCACTCATTGTGCCCTCTCATCCTAGGAAATGTACTACATGCTTTCTGAGGGAACTGTACTACATGCTTTCTGAGGCTTCTCATAATTTGGTTCTCACAACACACTACTCGATATCATCAGTCTTTTAAATGCCATCTAAAATGGTACCATGGCCTAAAGATTCTGAGTAGACAAAGCCAAGTGGCCTCGTTAAGTGATAAGTGACTTAAACTTTGCAAACATTAGCAAAACTTGAGCTATATTTTATAAAAACCTAAATTAAAAGAAAACAGCACTTAAGCTCAATGAACTAGAAGTAGCCAACAATAACTATGTATGCGTTCATGATAAAAAAAAAAAATTCTTTTTCTTTACTTCTATGCTGGTCCAATAAAATCTCCTCTCTTGCATTTCCACAGTGGAGCTTCTGAACCATACCTGGTGGACAACTGCCTAATTTATGAATTGTTGTTTGCCCAAAATAAAGTTTTAAGGGGTTGGAGAGATGGCTTCAAAGTTAAGAGCTTGCACTGCTCTTGCAGAGCACCTGAGTTCAATTTCTAGCACTCAATGGGCAGCTCACAACCTCCTGTGACTTCAGTTCCAGGAGGCTGTCACACCTCTGGCCTCCACAGGCACCTGCAACTCATGTGCCTTACCATATTCAGACATTTGCCTACAAACACGGCTAGAAATAATAAGCATTAATCTTTAGGAATTCATAGTTTCCTTTTTAAAAACATCATGGCCTTTCACCACTGAGAATTAGTATACAAAACAAAACCAAAAAAAGAAATGAAGAGGACAGCATTAAGCCCTTTTCAAGGCAATCATTTCAAAATGTTTCTCCTCTTGGTCCCAAACCAGTCAGCTTCAATGCTACATCATCTAAACCCTTCATCTTATAACCTCACTGCTACTCTTTAAATATCCAATGGTAGTGCTTCTTCCCTTGACCTACACTTAAATACAGCACAAAACTAAACGTGGTCACAGGCTACCTTCTGGCTGTTTATTGCGCACAAGTCTCACAGGCCAAGTACAAATGCTTCTCGGAACGGAGTACACATCCCACACTTTCACTACCACCTACGAATATGCCACATCGTTGATGTTCAGTTGAAAGCTCCACTCTGGTCCCATTAACCCCCATCCCAAACCCCACCCCTCTCAGAGAGCCTGACAAGCAGCAGCTCCTCCCCCGGAGCTGTTCAAGACCACACCTACAGGGTATTTAAGCTCAGGTCACTAGACCTGCCTTGTGATTTCTCCTCCTCCCTCCCCGCCCACCTCTGGGGGACTTGAGAGTCACCGGAGTGCTTCGCTCAGATTAAACCTAGTTCTTTACTTTTTAGTTCAGCTTGATCTGGTTTATTGCGTTGGCAGAGAAACCCACTACCAGGGTACAAAAAACACCTATCAATTAGGTACAAACATCTCAGCTGGGAGTTTACTGGCTGTAAGTATTCTCAGATGTCTCCCTCCACCCCTCCATTAGAGATGTAGTTGAGAGCTTGCCTAACAGGGGCAAGGCCTTGGGTTCAATCTCTACTACAGCCAACAGAACAAATAAAAGGCAGAGAAGTTCTTTGCAAACACTCCTTGTGCCAATACACAGCTTCCTGCAACCCACCTCTGTGCAAGTTCCACATAAGCAATGAACGGGTTTGCTCCACTCCAGCTCCCTCATTAAATTCCAACTAAGGATGTTCACAATTGTAACACACAGTATTTGAAAGACCACATTTTCCAAGCTCAAACTGCACCAGAAGGGCCATAAGGGGCAGTAGCCATCTTAACCCAAGAGCCTCAAATAGTCTTGTAACCTGGCTCCTCCCAGCTGTCTTTAAAACCTGTGTTAAAAGCTAGCATCCGCCAAAACAGAAATCCTATAAACACAGTGAGCTTTCCAGGATCCTTCACCTCTTGCCTCTAACATTAGCTTTTACTGTCCTGATATCTGTGGGCCTCCCTTGAGGAATTTAACATGCTGTGCCATGACCATGAGAAAGAATGCTTCATTAATTCATCAAGAAGTGGCAAAATGCAGAACACCTGATTATCTTGTCAACAAAAAAGATTGTTTAACCACACTAGTCAAAATATTTGCTTCCTTTCCCTCAAGTCTCTGCCCCTTTATAAACTATGCGAACACTAAAGTGACCTGGTTTCAAAAAGCATTCCACTTCTCCTGGACTTATCGTTAATAGAAATGATACAATGAGCCCTGTGCATGAGGCTTATCCTGAAACACAAGCCCACAATGCGGAGATCTGAAACAAACACCATGAGTGTGCAGTGGATGGGCTATAACGCTACAGATGACTTTTGTTTCTTGGGAGTAAACACACCGTGTGGAGCCTTCAGGAACGCAGCTCCCGAAGTTTACCAAGCTGCTGTGTTAAGAAATGATACACTTTGCAGCTTCAGCGCTCACACCCTCCAGAACCTTTTGGCAGCTTCAGCGCTCACACCCTCCAGAACCTTTTGGCAGATGCTGAGTATTCATGGTCTTAGGAGCCAGCACTTCTTGTGGCAGCACAACTTGGGAGTGCTTCACGTCCTGAAGTTCGGATCCAGTCAAAAGCAAAGGGACAGGCGTAGGGTCAAGCGCCCAGATCCTTAGGAGACAAACACCTAAGGTCTTACCAGGCGCAGAGGTCAAAACAGATGGGATGATGTAGATGTTCTTTCACTTTCATCACATCATGACAGCAACCCAGCTTTTCTAAGGAACCAGAGAAGTTAGGTGACTTGGCAAAAATCACACAGCTACCAAGTGGAGGAGCCAGCATTCTAGTGCTTACCTAGCTGCCTTGCAATGTTTATCAACTTGTTCCTGACCTGAGGTGCTTCTGTGGTGTCACCAAAAGATTAGGAAATCATTCTCGGAGAGGAGAGGCGGAGCACTATGGACTTGAGCAAGCTAACAGCTTTGTTTGAGTATCAACAGCTCTCGCCCAGCAGCCCAAAGTTGACAAGCTCTGCCTCTGCATGAATAGCTCTGAACTGCAATTATGGGGGGATTTCCCAGCAGATTAACAGTACATGCTTCTTGAAGCCAAAGATGCCCAGAGGGGAGGAGATGAGAAAGGGACCCCTCAGCGCCCATGTATAGGGACTTTTACTAGAACTATGCAGAGTTTAGAGCGGTCTATTACCATTTTTGTTTGTTTTAGTAACTTTCCAGTAAAACTGAGGTGGCTGATACAGAGGAAGAATTATAACCAAAGATGTCTTAGCAAAGACCAGTGACTTCCCATTCCATGCCTGGGTTTGTACTTCTGTGCCACAGACAACAGTTGTCTTAGAGGCAACTTTG